AAATACGATCCATTTTTAATCACTTTCTCCCCATTGGCCATAATATGGACTTGCAAAACACGGTAACTCCTTTCATCAAAGCAAACTTGATTCAGCTGCAAAATCAAGAGAAATCTGAAAACGGGTGAATTTTTTTGTGATTTTAGATTTTATTAAGGTTGTACAGATCTTTTGCTCCAAGACTGCTCATTCCAAGACTGCTTTTTAATCTACTAGGTTCACTCCCAGCTTTGTTCATCTCTCCAAGGACAACCACTTTTTCTCGTAGCACCACTGAAAACATGACTAGATTCTCTTTTATAATGAGCAAATAAATCAAGCTCTTCTTTGGAGAGAACCATCTTCATCTTTTTAAAAATATGCTTCCTGAAACCATGTGTTCAGTCTTTCACATATATGTTTTAATGGTCTAAACTATAGATAAAATTACATGATGCAGTTTTAGCATTTTCTAGGCATTATTTTTCATGGCCCTAAGTGAGGGAATATCTCAGGTGGCTCCTTCCACCTTCTTCCTAGCTCTTGATTTTCCCACACACATAAACGTAAATTCCTTCCTAAAGTGCAGACTCAGTTGTGTTTCTATAGTTCAGGGCATGTCACCCTGTTAAATTTTAATGACAATACGATTGAAATTTGGGGGATTAACAACCACGTGGCAATAATTCAGCTGATACCTACTTTATTTGCACCAGTTCTTCCAGCCTTCTCTGTACAATGAATAACTGAAAAGCACTGAAGAGCTGAAGGCTGTTTCTAGGATACAATGTGCAGCACTTCCTACTCTTGGCTCACTCTAACTTCAGCCTCTCAGCTCTGTCATTTTTTTCTGTCTATGAATTTTAAATAGTTTTTGCCACCAGATAGTGAGCTGAAAGCAGTAGCATTTGTCCCAACTGTGGGTGGGATCACCTTGCTACCATGGCAAAATCGAAGGGGCTGATCTTCACAAGGACTTTGAGGTAGGGTACTTTCCATGCATTACTTATCCTGCTGTTTGAAAACAAAACAAAACAAAACAAAAACCTTTCCTGCAGTGAGTTCAGAGGCTTTGTGGAGGTATGTGAGCGCACATATGTCCATATGCAAAGCATGGCTTCTCTGCATTGCCATTCCAGCTGGCAGTTCCTGGAAAGCTGTCTGGAGAGCCACCCTGCAACTCCAAAAGCTTCTGCAAAAAGGAGATCACAGATGATACAGCCTCCTCCTGCCATTTGGGCTTGTACTGTCCTTTCTGTGTTGCAGGGCTTGTGCATGGGCAGAAGGAGGGAGAGATCGCTGCTTTTTCATGGTTCTTATTTAAGGGGAGAACAAATTCCTGATAGGGCTGCTTTCTTTGGGCAGTTCAGCTGAGGGAAAGAAAAGGTCTTTTAAATGTGCCGTCACAGGCTGATCTGGATATAAACACTTATGGTACATTGATCCATTGTAAACTCCTGGAACAGGAACAGGATGCAGGTATAGCAGACAATTATTGTAAAACAATCGTTGCTCTATAAACAGCCAGTTTACAGCTTTCTGCTGTCCCCGAGATGTAGGTGTTGGTTTCACATTCTTGGCAGCCCTCCACTCGGAAAGTCAAGGTCCCTCTCTTTGGGCAGGAGCTGGCAGGAGGCTTGTGGGTCAGTGGGAAAGGGCTGCTGGGGGAAATCTGTCCTCAGCCTGGGAAACTGGGGAGATTTCTTGCCACTTAGGTTTGGGAGACAAACCCCCTTCCCAGCATTTTGCACTTGCAGTATATGATTGCTTTGAGATTTAGGAAGCAAACAAACAGTAATCATTAGGACTGGTTTATTAAATGAAATAAATTTCTCCTTGTGCTGTTGACTAAAGAGCAGGCAATTTAGCAGTTCCTAATTATGGGGTTACATCTAGATTTTTCTAAACCAAAACAACAGTTTATATAAACAGATTTCTGAGGTGTGCATGTGCTTTTGGAGGGTTTCACACAAACGAGTCTCTCTCTAGGAGGTGTAGATGTTGGTGCTGCTTTAGCCACTCAGTGTGCCTTGGATGCACAGCCTGTACCCGCAGGCAGCGACCTGCCTTGCTGTTCAGCAGGGGGGTGTTTTTTCTCAGCCAGTTCCGGCAGGGCAGATACACACGTTCACTCTGGGCCCATGTTTGGGATGGCGAAATAAAATAGTTCCCATAGTTATTCCTAGAAGTTAATTAGCTGTGACAGTGGGAAAGTGACAACCTCGTGGTTCTTGGATATTTATAACGAGGCTGTCACTTGCTAGATTAGTCGGGTCATAGAGGAGACAAGTGTGTAAAGTCAGGTTTCTGGCAGGGCATAGGGCTGAACCTGCATCGTCGTGCTTCCTTGCCATTGCTTAGATGTTGGCAGAAAGGATGTCTTGGTGCAGCATTTGTAACACTACACCAGCATGTGATCCTTATCTTTGGGGACCGTGGCCTTACACTGCTGCAGAGCTCTGTAGGTGCACACGGATTGCCTTCATTACCTGCCTTTAAAGCTTGACCTGCTATGATTGAAACTGATGTGGGATTTCTGCTCCTGCTTTAGCAAGAACAAGGTCAGGTTTCCAGGAGCAAAGCAGAGCTGTGGCATGGGGCAGTTGTGGAGGACATGAAGAAACACCTCGGTGTGCATGGCCTGCCGCAGTGTAGCACCCTTCTTCTCTGTGCACCTGGCCCTCCAGGCAACTGCTCTCTGGGTGACATAGCCTCCTGATTTGGGATTCTGGGTCCCTCACTTCTGCATTGTACATTTAACAAGTGGCCCTGGCACTAGTGTGCTTCAGGGCTTGCTCCAACTATGAAGTTTCCTAATGCAGAAGGCGACGCTGCAGTTTGACTCTTGGTTTTCACCAGGCAATCAAGGTCTAATGTACCAAATGTGTTCACTGTATACTGGTAACAGCACAGCTAAACATGACTTCTTAATACTTGTGGAACTGCTCAGGCCCAGAAAAGCTGCTGGGAATATTTTTGAGGACTTTATTTATTTATTTATTTATTTTTAATTTGTGAGAGTTAAATGAGCAAAGAGTTACAATGGGGTAAAAAAGCTCTCAAACTGCACAGTTAGTGCAAATCACAGGTATTTTATTGGTAATGATAGGCTAACCTGGAATAGATTATTTCGAAAAACTCTCTCATTCAGAGTACCGTTTATTAATGTTGCTACTGGTCAGGAGATGTGATATCTCACGCTGAGGAATATATGAGTCACTATCATGATAAGGAGAGATCGCAGAAGTAGGTTCATGTTTGTCTCTGTCATTCCAGTCCTGAACTTTTAGTCGGAAACACTAACAGGACTTTAGCATGATCTTGAGAGTGTCATTTCTAGTGAAAAATTACTGCTCATGAGTAGTGTGCCAAATTTTGTAGTGGGTTTGTCATCTGCCCAATATTCTTCAGAGAAAGCAGCTGACTGTTGGCTCCCCTAATTATTTATTTTTCTAATATTGCTTTTTTTTCAGAGCTAGTTTGAAGGGGGAACAATCCCCAAGCATATATAAATAATCAACTAAAACCAGACATTACTGTCAAAAAGAAAGTAAAGCTTTGGAACAAACAAGAATAGTTTTGTACAAATTTCTCTCATAAAACTGGCAAGATATCAGTGAGCATTTTCTGAGAAATATTTTATTTCAGTGTAAGGTGGGACGCTACTTCTTCACATTGCTACAAACTCCCACTGGAGAGCAAAACTGGGAAGCTGCCAAACATCTCATACCTGCTGTGACAATGGGTAGCTGTATCAACACATACAAACCCATATTTAACTAAACTGTTCAATTGAATTCTAATCTCCAGCTAATCACAAAGCTTTAAAAAATATCCCTATTCATGTTTTATTTCTAAAAAATACCTTTATGATGTAATGCAAATTAATGAATGGATGAGAGACTTGAGCACAATACGCTATCTACAAAACTAAATGAGTTACAGGGCTCATATTCTACTCGATATTTGACCCATGAAACTCTCAGTTAAAAAGAAAAATGGAGACTGGAAATCACTGAAGGGCCATTTTAGGGATACTCAGAATAAAAGGTGGTAGAGAGATGTGGTTTGGTTTTGTGCTATGACATACCAGAGAAGTACTCTTAGCTGCCATGAGCCACCAAATTTGATGAAAAGATTAGAACGGGAAAACTACCAGCTATCACCAGTTTGCTTGTAATAGGTATACTTTGTGTTCAGAACAGAACTGCTACCTCCTGAACAAACACTTTTGTGTTCAGCTGGTTCTCATGCAGAGCCCCTCATGGGGCACCTGCAAAAGAGAAGCATCTTCTCTGGACCTCCTCACTGAGTCTTAGGTGCCTTCCTTATTTTGGCAGTCCAGGACATAAGGGCAGATTGATCTCTTCTAGTGTTTGGTTGGGGCGTTCAGCAAAACCCTCTGCAAGTACGACGGCTCCTTTTTACTAAATTTAAGAAACCCTTGGAGGTGGCTCATCCTGATTCTGTTTTTCTATCCTGCACAGCAAGGCTGGGTGTATCCTCAATTTAACCTGGCAGTGAGGAATGCAGGCATGTACTTTTAACTGAAGTGACTCTCCCTGACCCAAGTTTTATGCTTGCATGGAAACCCTGTCAGAAAAAATAATTTTCTAGTGTCTTTGCATTTATTCTGTTTTTACACTGTGTCTTCAGACCTCCACCTTTTTAGTGCAAACAGGCCAATGTGACCTTGTTACCAAACGGTTATCGAAGACTACAGTTAACAAAGTGTTCTAGGGGGCTATCAAATGTCTCCGAGGTAAGGCATGCATAAAACATGAGCACATAGTCGTAAATAACCAGGCTCCTCTTCATTTATTTTAAAATAATGATGGTTGTTTAACTGGCTTGAAAGGGTTACTCTTTCACCTCTAGTTTGTTCTGAGCACCGTGGGAAAATGACATGAGCACTGTTTAGTTTAAGGGATGTAGTCATGCAAAACCTTTGCTGTACTTGTGGAGGAAGCTGGAGTGTTTCAAGAAATAATGAAGGTGTGAATCATCACAATTCTGAATTGTCTGATAAGAAAATCTTTTAATCTCCTGCAGTAATGTCAGGATTCAAATTGCTGCAATTCTCTTTATAAATTGTGCAATAAAATATGGAATAAATCATTGCAAAAGAATCCAAGATTATCAGCCGTCTCTTCCTTTGATATCAGGATTTCTGAACGGTGTTCTTTAAAGATTTTTTCTTGTTAGTTTATTTTTAGGAGAAAAGTAAACTAATTAGCTCATTTTTTTTCACTTTATGGTCTGTTCTTGGCATGCTTAGAAAACATTTGAGCTCAAACAGTTCATTTTCAGTTGTGCCCGTTGGAAGGAAGGATTTCCATTTTTTAAAAACAGCTTAAGAAAACAACCAAGACCAGATACTGCTTTCATTAAAAGTATAGGCAAAGAATGAGGAGTTTAGTTATTTACTTTTCTTTTCTTTTGTTTTCTTTTTTTTTTTCCCACTTGTTATTATAAATGACATTTAATATTTAAATGACAAAAAAAAATTATTTAGTTTTATATGCCTCTCCATGTGTTCAGTCAAAAACCAGTTCCACTCTGATAAATATTATAATTTCTCATTGTTTCTGGGATTTTGCTCCACATATTCCATGTGGTTTTACAGGACGACATCTACGGTCTCTTACCAAGGTTTTATGTTTTTATTTACACAGAAACCACACAATGCAGTAGGATGTCAAGAAAGCGAACAGCTTGATAAGGTTTAGTCTTTTGAGGTTCCTTTTATGATCAAGAAAGATAAAAAAACATGTAAATCACTCAAACTGGAAATCACAGAAGCTCGCTTTGATATATGACTCTTGTAATATACAATAAGACTTTGATTACAACTTTATCATTTCAACTTCTTAGGCAGCAGCTGCTCATTGGCTAGAGACAAAATCAAATGATTATACTGCTACCTTTGCCTGTGGACGGTAAAAAGTTATCTTAATAAATGACAAAGTCCTGTCATAAAAGATTAGAATAATAGAGCTAAACAGGATGAAATACAGCCATGAAATTTAAAGTGTTTGGGTCAGATTCTGCTGTGATTTGCCTGCAAGCCGCTTGCTCAGGCCGTGGTATGTCCAGGCAGCCTGCCCTGGGTCAGGGCTTTGTAGCTTCTTGCTTGGATGTCCATGAGCATCCTCTATTCTCACCATTTTCAAGGGGCTGTGAGAAAGTGACAAAGCAGTTTTTGGAAACAGCACATCTGATTGCATTTTGGATGGTGTTTTATTTTTTATCACTGCAATATGTTTTATAAATATTTGATGAATGCCTGAAAAAAATGTGAAAAGTCACAGTAATGGTAAGATTGTTTATGGCACTTTAATGTAATTGGCCTATTTACTTGCCTCAGAAAGTTATTAGGTAAAACACGGTTGTGTGCAGATTAAAGATATGTGACACTCTCTGGCTAATTGTCTAGATGTATAACTCACACAAGGGGGAGAAGCCGCCCAGCTCTTTCAGTGTCACCTCCCTCGCTTCGTACAGCTGCTTACAGCCAGTAATTGGCTTGGGAAACAACATATAGCACACCTACTGTTATGTCAATTGTGAGTGATTTCTTTCCACAAATTATGGCCAAGCTGGCTTACAAAAGTTCCAAAATAAAACTACTCGGTGCTCATTTAGTCCCAGCTGCCTCACCTGCTGGGTTTTGGATGCTGAAGGGAAGAAGATCAGTAACTGCAAGCAGGTGGTTGGGTGAGTGGAGAGCAAATCGATTGGCAGTGGCACGAGGAGTCCACCTCTGTATGTTTCTGTCATCTGGGTCTCAGATACAGGACCTGTGGCAGTCTGAAGTCCCTGGGTGAAGATAAAAAGGCTTAAAGGTGAGCTGAGACCCCATTGTAACACAGTAAGGGGATATGATTAAGTGTGCACCTTCAGGAAGAAAGGTAAAGAGGACTGAGGAGATGACAAGGAATGGGTGAAAACAGCTGCTAGCTTTTTTTTTTTTTTTTTTTTTTTTTTTTTCCCATAGGGTGAACTGGAGGACCTGAGGGGCCTGAACCCTTCTTAGAACTGCTCAAAGAACTGAGATGGGGAACATGGTGTTGAACTTGGGAGGGGAAGGAGGCTGCTCAGGGTCAGCCTCTGCACAGATCCACCTCATGGTGAGGCCAGCAGGCCCTATCTGGTGCTCTGTGCTGCAGTAGTGAGGTCACTTTGCTGTTCTCCTGCTCGGGAGGTGTGCATGAGGTCATGGTTCTCATTGTGCAGAGCAGTGAAGGAGCAGCATTGATGCAAGAATTGTATGAATGCCTGTGCATGTGTGTGATCATAATATAGCTATAATGGACTCTAGATACAATGTGGTTCAGATATACTCTAATACAAGATTTTGGGCTCTGTATGAACTGCTTGCTCTCTCCTAATGTTTCTTTAAATATGAGGCAATTGCACAGCAATCTAGAGATAACTTAGTGTAGAAAAATAATAGAGATACTTGCGTTGTTCCCTTGACATTTTTGCTTTCTTTCTTTTTCTTTGAAGCCACCAGCTATTTCCCTGTAGAGCTATGAAATAACAGGAAACAAGAACCTCCTAGCAAAGTAAAGTCTCTTCTGCAGAACTAGAGCAGATCAAGTCCTGTAGAAAGTTAATGAGGAACTGAGACTTTTGTATGCTAGGATAAAGAAAATTGCTCACTTTCTAGTGCACTGGAAACAGTCATGAAACCTTTCAGGAAATGGCATAATGTATTTTTAGTGCAAAATGGAGCTAGCAAAAAGTTGTGAAATGCTGTACCATCAGTCCTGGATTTAATGCATCAGTCATGCAGCAACTGCATGTTTCCTGTTTCTTTATTTCATTGCAAACAAATACAAGAGACATCAGAAAAAGTCACTTATTTTCGTTTTCTCATCAGGCTCTCCCTAGAAAATGTCAGCCAGTGTATGTGGACCAAGCTGGTGCTGGACACTGATCCTGCTGGACACCAGGCAGAGTGCAGCATGGCCCCCTCTCACCCACCTCCAAGATCACCTGTACGTCTGAGTGCTTGTTTCCATTTCCCTGCCTCCCTCTCCTTGCCTGCAGCTGCCACTTCCAGAGCTGGTGTTTTGTACACTCCGAGAATTTATTATTTTTTTTTTTTTCAATCTTTGCATTTTAATTACTACCTCCTCCATTTCAAAAGGCTGGATGTTTTGAGATAACAAAATATTTCCACAGGTCACGCTACTTTTTCTTCCTATGGATTCCTGTATTAAGAGAAAGCTACTGATTTCCAGGAGGAAATTGTCTTGATTTCTTTATAGCCTCAGTCTGTTCTCACTGAAGCCACTGGCAAATCTTCTGTTTATTTTTCAGGGATACAAAACTAAGCCAAATGCCATCAGGCAGAGATCAGCACATATATTGAACCATGAGCAAGGCCTGGGGAGTCTAGTTAAGTCATTCATTAGAGCTACTTTGAAATTCCTCACTAAATAGGTTTGGGTTTGCTTTTTGCCAGCAGTGCTAACTCACTGAAATGGAAACATTTCATGGCAGTGTATCAACTTCTATTATCCAGAAAGGTTTTTTTGGGGTCCCAGGTGAAATGTTATGGGGAGCAAAGGAATCAAAAGAAGAAAGTTTTTATTTTTTTTAGCTGAGATACTGAGCAAATATAGCTGCATAGCTTCTGGTCTAGTGTTGCTTGTAATAGTCTGAACACACCTGGGAAGATGGACTTAACTCTTAATGTCAGGTGCCCAAACTGAAATATTCATCTTAATTATGAAAAATAATGTTGGAGTGGAGAGGATCGTCAGCTTGGGGAAAGTAGAAGCATCATTTACGCTTGCCCCTTTTTGGAAGGAGTCAGTATGCCATATTGAAATGAAGTTTGACCCTTCTTGCCACAGGGCACAATGCTAATTCAACATTCAGAAAGCAGTTAAAGGTGTCACAGAAGATTTTGTTAAAGACTAAAACCAAAAAAGGAAAATAAAAATAAACAAAAATCACTTTTAGTTCAACAAAATTCCATAAAGCTAGGAGAATATGTTGAAGTAATGCGATGATACCTTCACCTTGTTCTTATACCTTTCTCTAGGCATGTGGTCACTCTTCGAGCCAGGCTTATGTATAAGACCAAACTTAGTTTGGTCTTATACAACAGTTATCACAGAAAGCATAAGATAAAATCATTCTCCTTGTCTTTCAGCTGTGCCTACTCTGCAGATAGTACTGTGTGGCTGTAACTTCATCAGCTGTTGCAGTTGATATCTTCAACAAGGCTCTGACTACAGTAGTGAAGGAAAAATGGTAAATAGAAAAGTGAGAAGTGCTGAGGCTAGAACAAGACCAAATAACCATTCCACATTCTATTTTTGATCCATGAGCAGTTTTTGATCCATCAAAATGGATCAGGATGGTCAGCTGAACTTAGAGGTCCACATTATTAAAGGCATTCAAACACATAATGCTCACTGAAATCTCTGGAGTAAAGTGTCTGAATATTTTTATGATCTGTGTCATAATAAAGCCAATGAATGGTGTTTGTGTTCAATCAGCAGTGTTTTGGTTGACATTCAGGCCTGCTGGGAATACAGAAAACAATAGTTACTCTCAAAATGTATAAAAGATCATGTCGTTATCTTGCATTCAAAACATCACTATCAGCTTACCTGTCTGTTGTATAGCATTGTGTTGTTGTCACAGGCAGTACACAGCATAAAATGAAGTAACTAATCATGAATACTTCCATGATTCTTGGACTTCAACAGGGAAAAGAAAGAAAAAAAAAAAAAAGCAGGAATTGCCTTGTATTTTGATTACAATTTTCTATATAAGTAGGACACATTCTAAATATTATTATATTGAGTTAGTCCATCCAACAGTATAAATATGAAATTCTAGTATTTTCACTTAAATCCTGAGTCCACATCACTTGTATCCATGGTGATAGTAAGACTCTTGTTCTGATTTCTTTTCAAGTCAGTGTTGTGATTCTTAGTGATTTTGAAACTGCTTTTCAGTAATTCTAAAAATTAATGGTTAGGCAAATATTCTCAGCTTTGGCTCTGTCTTTAGTGTGCATGCACCCGTTATTAAGTGACAATCTACAGCAGCAAACCCTTTCATTGTGGTTTAGATTTTCATGTTGTGTCTGTAGGGATAGCATATTCTATTTTAACAAGATCTGGTGATATTGTACCAAAGCTTGCTATGTGCTTTACTGGGAAATAAAAAGGTTAAGCTCTTTGTTTGTAGAGATAGCTGGCATGGTTTAGCTTTAGTAGAAGGAGTGAGCAACAGGAATGAGGGAGTGGGGTGATAAATCAGAACACTTGCTTCAATAGATATCTCTCTTTGTACAGTAATTTGCTCTCAGTAAGATAGTTAGGGTTTGTTTATCATTCATTATCGTCTTTTCTGTGGGTGTGCAGCTTGGAAAATGTGTTTGTGCTTGGGGGGGACAACATAAAGCAAAAAGGTGAGACTATAAGGAAAAGGCAGATAATATAGATAGGGATCCCCTTGCTCCATATATATGTTCTAGAGGGAAGGAGAGAGGAAGGCAAGTGATGGTAGTGCAGAAGGTACAGGAAGGTACAGAAGCAATACCATGGAAAGCAAGTGAGAAATACCCTCAATTTTGACAGCTCTTGAGGGAGGAAACTTTGGGCACTCCACAGAAGGGAGGACATGAAATATTACCCCAAAGGGACCGGCAAAGCTCCAGGTAAGCCCAGAGTGTTGGAAATGCCTGTGGGAAAATGGGTGTGTGACAGCTACAGCTCTGTCTCCCTGTGAGCTCTCCTAGCTCATGCCTAGAAAATTTTCCCAAAGCTTGGACTGAATCAAATTAATACATGTCTGATAGGAAACTTGAAAATCTTCCTAGTATTCATCAGGAACCCCATGTTGCCAGAAACTTTGTATTGCTAAGCTTGGCCTGAACAAAATAAGGAAGTGCTCCAGAGATTTGCTGAACTGTGCCCTTGAACAAAGGTGAACTTAAGAAACCTTTAACAAACGTTTGTGTTTTTCAAATGCTTATCTAGAGCTCTTGCCTTCCCCTTGACTGTGTAGGCTTTAGATGAAGAGGGAGGAGCTTGCATTATGATTATTCCCCTCAGTTTGGACACCTGGCTCTTGATGGTTCTTGATGGGAAGAGCCCAGCAAATGGTCTGTGTTGATGCTCCATGCATGGTTTGTTGTTAATATACTTTCATAGTCACTTACAGTTCACCTGAAGTTCTGTTTCTGTGCTTGTGTGGGGCTTTATGAGTTTCAAGTATACAGCTAAATATATTCTCAGTTTCCACTTCTAGTCGATGTGTAAAATGTTCAGCCCTATATTATTCCTTACTCTAACTGTGAGTGAGCTCTCCCCTAAGTCAAGGATGACAGAATGTGGTCCATTTTTTAAACTGGGGATTTGCAAACTCAAACATATTCACAAATCAAGTTCAATCAGGAGATTCTTCACATTCCTGCCTTGAATGGTCTCCAGACTTTCTGAAAAATACAACTGGTCTGCACTCCATATGACCATGTTTTTGTAGTTGGCTCATGGGAATGTCTAACGTTAATCACTGTGAGCCAGTTTTACAAATATCTAGAAACTATTTTCAAAGAGAGTCAGTACTATTAAGCTAGAGGACATCTAATATATCTTATGCCACTTCTGAGGTACAATGAGATGCAGATACCTCTCTCACTTTCACAAACAATTTGATAGAAGAGATGCTTTTAATATTTGACACTTTAGCGGGTGACATTGTAAGATCTGCTGGAGGACCTGATCATATCTCAGAATGAACTTGGTCAGACAGAGACATGAATAGAGATAAACAAAAGGATGCGAAAACATTAAAGTCTAGTAGTTAAAGTCTTGTCTATCCATGGACATCCTCTGTGCTTATCCCTCTTCTCGCTTGCTTACAAATATGAGTCTGTCTTATCTGGAAATATCTCCATGCTTAAAGGCTATAAGTAGAGCAGATGTACACACCTCTTCATACTATGAAGTAATCTGTAAGGCTGGACTATCTGGTCTCATAAACCTTTCATCAACAATCTTCATTCTGAAGCTGCTGCATAGGTTAACCATAGAGTGGTATCTCCCTTTGAAGACAAGAACCAAGACTGGACCTTCTCTACAGCTGTAGTTAAATATGACTGGCCTTTTTACTTTTTTCCTCCTCTCTCTCATACAAACACACAACTAAACAAGACATGAGAAAACAAGTGGAAATAATTGTGATAAAACAATCTCTCATAAAATCATTACCAAGAACTTGGGTCTCTGCAAAGCTTTAAAAGCATCTTGGACTGACTTAGCTGACAAATTGCCATCACTCCAAACCTCATCCTGGTATTTTTTATCTTAGTAACCAGGAGGATATCTCCCAGAGAGAGTACTGCACTTGTTTTCCCTACCAGTTGTGCACAAATTACATTGACCTACAACACTTCTGTTCTAAACAGTCACCTGAAGTTGGAAACAGGACCTAATGTGTAGTCCCCAAGGAAATTCAAAAGCAGCTAACTCTGGAAATGTGTTGGGTTCACAGGCAGTTCCAGCATAGATTTTAGGCCTGGGCTGTGGCCTGTGACTGGCAGCAAGGTTGTGCCACATGGGGGTGAAACCCATGCTCAGCTGTGGGCAGGCAGCAAGCCAAGCAGAGCAGGTGAAGCTGATGTCCTTGGTCTGTCCTTGAGCCCCATCTCACAATGGGACAACAAAATCCCCCAGGAGTTGCTGTCATTTCCTGCTTCCAAGCCATTCACAGGGTTTCCCCTGACAACTTAGCTGGCCAAGGTATAAGAAGTGTCTTGTGCCTTTTTTTTCCCTGCAAGTGAAATGCGAGATTTTTTCTGATAGCCTGGGGGGAAAATTATGGCTTCTCCACAGAGTGCAACTGGTTGGAATATTCTTAGGGTCTGTCTTTTGGATTGACCTTCCCAAGATCAATCAAGTCTCCTCTCCAGAATTCAATCCTTCCAGTCCATGGGATTTGCAGCCAATTAATTCATGAACACTTTATTATTACACTTGTCTGAGCTCGATAGCCATAGAAAATTCTCATGATATTAAGGATAAATTGCAGATAGTTTTTCATTATACTCTGGAATAAGCGTGCATTATCCACAGAACGGAGATTTCTTATGTTTTCCCCAAATGCAAGTTTAATATTTATTGAAATCTTCTGTTGATTAAATGCTCTGAATAGTGTATCCAGAAGAATAATCGATATTTTAAATGCACTCAGACATATTTGCTGTTCACTAGTTACACAGAGAAATAATGAACTTGCTATATGAGAAGGTAAAATGCATGAATAATTCATAGCTATTAATTTATTCAGTTTTGCCTTTTGAATTGATTTGGCAATTATTCTTGTACTGCACATCATTTACAAATGCTTAGATATAAATATTTACAGTTGCAAATTTGTGGTCAAATCATTTCTATTCTCTGACTGAATGGCTTGTGTAGCACACCAAGCACTGCAAATTGTGATTTTTACTGTTAAATATACAACTCAGTAGAATGCAGGTGCTTGAATGATCAAACAAAGTGGATACATACAAACTGTAAATGTGGTCAAACAAATATATTTCAAATGTGAATAAATATTTGCCAGCAGGTGTTTATTCATCACTTACTGCAGGAAGAAGGAAGGACATGTTGTGTGTCATGCTGCCACAGACAACAGTCAAAGACCAATGACCTGTGTCACTGAAATTTTAGTTGTTTATTTGTCTCTTCTCTCTTTTGGATTTGTTTGAAATACATACATATGTGTGTGTGTGTGTGTGTGTGTGTATGTATATATTTTCCTGCTGATTGTATTCTACATTTTACAAGGATGATTGCAACATTCAGGAAAATGAGAATTCATCCTAGGAGTCTTTGACTGGCAAAAAGCCCTCTGTTTCCCTTAACCCCACAGTGAAGCTGTGTGCTAGAGGATCCATAAGCAGAATATTATGAATCTGTGAGTGAACTGATGGTTCAGTGAAAGGGCTAATTCGCAATGGTTTACTTCAGCCAAGGGAGACTTCCCTCCTAAACTCCCCCTGTAGTAATTTAGAGAAAGAGAGACTTCTCTAGAGCACGATTCAATACAGGAGCCTAATTTTAAGTGCTCTGAATCACTCCTCTAGTCTGCTTATTTTGAACAGTACAGTTTATCTTCCCTCCATTTCCTGCTTGCTGCCCTGATTGATGAGTCAGGATTTATACAGAATGAATGATTTTCACCTTTTATGAATAAAGTCATTTTACATAGCATTGTCATCATTTAGAGCGCTTGATTTGAGACTAAAGAACTAGTGAAAGCATTAGGGTGTATTATGTTATATATTTCACTCTCTGAACAGTTAGAAGAACCTTGAAAAAATTCCAGCTGTAAGCATTTAAGTCATTTAATACATTGCAATAATTCAAAGCCACTTAATGTGATTTTCAGTTTTCTCGAAGCACTCGAGAAAATTACTTTTTTCAAAAGTTCCTTCACTTTGAAATGCTTCCACAGAAGCACTCAAGGCTGAAAGTATAGTTAAGCCATTTACAGATAGCACATTCAGAAAAGAAAAAGAAAAAAAAGAACAAAAACCAAAACCTAACAACAACAACAACAAAAACCTCTGAAACTACAAACACAGTTTGTTCTAAAGGGATAGAGACAAACTTGCATTAACATCCACAGCAATCCTAAAGTGAAACTAGATATTTGCTCTTATTTTTCTAAACGTATTTGAAATACAAGAGTAGATGCTGAGGGAGTCCTAAGGCCAGGCCAGTGGTAGCCTTAGGACTGTGTAGGGATGTAAGGGATGCTCAAAGGAAATTTGCTCATGGTGTACAGCACATGAATGGGTGTGAAACCACACTCAAAATTTTCATGGCTATTCTTCTCTTGGGAAGTGCTTATGAGCTTCACAACCACAGCAAAACTGCTGAAGCTCTGCTGTCACAGCCTGAGAAACTGCTGCTCTCAGGGCAGCAGCTTCATGGGACTGCATGAGCACCTCACACCCAGGTAAATGCCAGGTCACCCCAGTGAGCTGGAGCTAATGCTCAAGAAAGCTACTTTTGACTGTGTAGAGTTGGAGCCACCACAGGGCTTGCTGTTAAGTGTTGTCTGCAACCTTGCTGTCCATGGTGGACCCTCTGCATCTCATCCTGAGCGGTACTAGTGACACACATCTCTGCAGATGGCATTCTTCTGGCACATCAGCATCCTGGAAGAACCTCTGCTAGTGAGTCTGTGACATTAGTTGACTGATGAAGGCTCCTACCAGTGCTGCACAGTGCATCTCCATATGGTGCCCCACAGCCTCTGTCCAACACAGGATGTCCAGCTGCCAAGGGTTGCTCTGCAGGGGCCTTCTGCCCTAGGCAGTAGTTGCAGGTGGTCGATATCCTATGCTAGCTGCCTGCTGCCATCTGCCAGCTTTTGTCCCATTGCCTTTGTCATGCCTGTAATCTCCATGGTCTTAGTAGGATCTCCAAACAACCTCTTGAATGGCCCACCAGGGTAAGCTTCTTATGGCTGTGTTAGGTGCCTGTAGTGTGTGTGCTCCCCTTCCTTCACAAGCAGGAGTTGAGGGAAGGCCGAAGGGGCATGGCACTGAAGAGTGAAAGTCTCTGCTGGCATGTGCTGTGGCAGTATGAAGGATGCTTGAACTTGGCTTCCTTCTCATAATGTGGAACGTTGTGGAGTATT